CACAAAGGTTTTTTTCGCGATAGCCACAAGCACGCTGGCGATAGAGAGCTGAAACTTGGCATATCTGACCTTTGATTCAAGCCGGATCTTTTGACACCAGTCACCAACCGCATTTTCGGGTCAGGTCAGGTGACTGACCTATGACGTCATAAGTGAACCTCTGCAGTACCACCAGAGAAGTAATTTCTCTAAGTATAAAATAGGCGGACTGGCGACGGGCTTCTGGTCTGCTGGCTGGGCGGTCGGGGGCGGTGGTCGTGCCCCCTACCTTGTAGAGAACTAGGAGAGGTGCCTGAAGATAAGCGCTTGTCGCTTCTGCACCAATCCGTGTGAATGCACGACTGTGATAATGTTTTTTATAAATAAAATATGAATCCTCACACTTCACAGCCAGAGGAGCTTTCACAGAGAAATGAAACTTGCAGGATCTTGTATCCATTACGAGTCTCACAACTTGTAGATCTCGGATTTTTCCTAAAGGTCATATGCAGGGATGCGGAGCCGGAGCCGGAGTCGGAGCCGGAGCCGCCGGAGCCGACATATTTTGCCCGGAGCCGGAGCCGGAGCCGGAGCCGTGAAACAATATAGCCCGGAGCCGGAGCCGGAGCCGGAGCCGCCAAAAAAGGGGGCGACTCCGGCTCCTTTTTATTTTTTGAAGAGGAAAAAAAATAATTGACCTAGTTCGGTTTGACAGTACAAGGCAGTAAAACATATGGTACTTTACTTACGTCATGGGCCATCAAGTGAATGAAAAAAAGCCGAATATCCCCAGTATCCCACAGTAGGTACGCAATCAACTTCTTGTCTGCTCCTCCCCCCCCCCCCCCACGTCTACTGCATCCCCAGAACATGAGGACCGGTCATCAGGTGACGGCCATTGTTTTCAAGCCAGTGGCAGTGGACTGCGACTCCCAGCACCGTCTCTTCCCCTCCCCCCCCCCCACTCCCACCCCCCAATGCAGCCGAGACTGGTGTCAGCTTACGATGGTTCAGTGAACTCCAATTCGCGGCGACTGCGTTTCCAATGCCATCGCTTCCTAGTCCTTTGTTCTGCCAGTTCTCTCCAAGGCCCTATATACCAGGTAGGGTCGTCCGGCGATTCTACCTGATCGTGACGTCAGCTCGTGACGTCATCTGGGGGCAAGTCTTGAAGTCCCGTTTAAGTCCTATGCAAATGGGCGATTTTTGAAGCGCTGTAGAACAAACTCTGCTAAAGCTAGCACAAAACTAAGTGCATCATCGGAAAGCCGAGACATTTTTCTTCGAATTATCTAAGAAGCGTTTTTCACTAAACCCATTAGTTTTTCCAAAAATGCGTAAAAAACCCCCATGCCTCCGCAGCCCCCCTTCCGCCGGCCGCCACGCCGCCGCGGTAGTGTAGTGGTTAGGATGCTTGCGCCGTAATCCAAAGATCGTGCGTTCGAATCTAGGCGCGGGTCGTACTTAAATCGAAATTGCAAGCAGAATATGTGTTTTTTCTTGATAAATCACTTATAATACAGCTAACCGTTCATAAAACTATCGATAACAATTGACTGAAACCCGAAATATAGAATACATTCTGTTAAAACAAATTCAAATATGGCGGCCGTTGCGCCAGGCTCCGCCCCCGACTCCGCCCCTTCGTGTGACGTCATCTGTGCACTTGGACACACAGGGAGATAGGGGACGACATGGGCCTGGTTCTCTCCGAGGTGCGTTTGCGCGGGGACGCGGTGAGCCGGTCATGGCAAAGAGTAACGCGTATAACCAATCCAATTTTTCTTCCACTCGTATTTAATTGATTGCATAGGGGATGTACTGAGTCGGAGCCGGAGCCGCCGGAGCCGGAGCCGCCGGAGCCGGACCATTTTACTCGGAGCCGGAGCCGGAGCCGGAGCCACCACAACATTTCACCCGGAGCCGGAGCCGGAGCCGGAGTCGATTTTTTCCTCCGGAGCCGGAGCCGGAGCCGGAGCCGTCTGAAATTTCCACGGCTCCGCATCCCTGGTCATATGAGGTAAGGTCATTTTCGTGACCTCACCATTATATGGGGTCAATGAGGAAAAATGAAAACTGTTATTCTGGCGCGGGGAACGATCTCCAACTATCTAAAGCACACATAATCGTGATTTCATGCACTCCTTGCAAGGTAAGATGCGTTACTTTTGCAAAGCTGACCTTGCGTGACGTAATTTATGACGTCATCAAGGTAATATTAGTTTTTCGTCAATAACTCTCGATCAAATTGAGTTAGTGAGTCGGGAAAGCCATCAATGGACTCAGGAAGACCTGCCGTATCGAATGATATGCGACATGACCTCCTTCGACCAACTTCGTGACATGGGGGCGCTGACCTGACCGTGACCTGAAGTCAACACCCAAAGTTGACATCACCCAAACATTAAGTATATCATTCGACGCGTCTGAGCAAGCCGAATACGATGGTGCCAAAATCGCGGCTCTGCGGCCGTTTATTTCGAAGTTATTCACCAAAAACTGAACCGTACCTTGGAGCACTTGACCTGACCTCAGAGGTGACTGGTTGACCTAGAACCTTAAAATCGAGTATCAATCTCTGCGTCTCGTAACGGTGCACACGCTCGTTTTTTTCGCGACGCGCTAGCTCCACCAGGGGCGAAACGACGAGGGGGGGGGCGTATCCGACCCCCTCGGTCAGCGCGTATGTAGAAAACCAATAGGTCCGGCGAGGGCTATCGAATGCGCTTCTCCGCGGCGCTGTAGCTCTATTGGTAGCTCTATTGTCGACATTCGACCTGAAAATCGGCGAAATTTTGCCCTCAATGACCACTGGTGACTTGACTTTTGACCTGACCAAAACAGTGACCGAAGTGATTTCGTCATTATTTTTGGCGCTCTTTTCCGGGTATCGCTACGTGGCCCAGGAGACGAGGTAGAAGGGGGGTGTTCAAACACCCCCACCCCAGCAGAGCGTGGAAATCCAGGACCCCCAGTGGGGCGCGGGTTAATAAATTAATAACATCGACGTCACGATGCATAAATATTTTTGACTTGCATACCTTTGACAAGCTATGAACAGTACCATTCGATTCGTCGTGAAAAACTACATCGAACGCGCGCTTTTTGATCTTACAAACCAATTTCTAAGTTTGACCTCACTCAACTAGAACTTGACCTGGCCTCGGTGCGAAATTCATTCAAATATTGTTCATTTTAAACCTCGCCCGTATAGGAGGGGTCGAACTGACCCCCCTAAGGTTTTTCGCGAATAACTCGCGTGTAAAGCGGCCGATCACGATGAAACTTTCAGTACCCTCGCGTTATTCAATTTTACACCTACCCTGAAATTTTCATGACCCTGACCTCAATGACCTTTGACCTGTGACCTACTTTTCGAGACCATGTCTGGCCGGAGTCGCGATTCGGCGTATGTCGGCTCGCATTAGCGGCGCGTTTGCAGTCTTTTCGTGGTTTTAAGCGTTCAAACATGGGATTTGATGTTGCTCCCATGCATTAGGGTGGGTGTCAAGGTCACCGGAAGGTCAGGTCAGTTCATTGACTTTTGATGACCTCGGTTCACTTTTTCGAATTTTACATGTTTCTAAATTCTAGGCCAGCTTTAGGAGCTGTGATTCGAATTTAGCAACCATATGAACATTTACGAAGTAGTTTTGGTGCCTTCCTAACATGTTACGAAGCTGTCAGAGGCGGTTGCCACCTACTACGAATACCGTGACTGGTTGACCTGACCTGACCCGACCTGGCCTAAATGAATGAAGACATCATCTGTGATAAAAACTAACATGATATTCGTGATCAGCACCCCGAAAAACCTCATAGCAGCCACGCTTTACGACTTTCTGACAGGTCCCGATTTTCCCGACTTTTGGGTCATTGACCTGACCTGGAAGGTCACCCGATGACCTAGAACCTTAAAATTGGGTATCATCGGCTTTCTCTCGTCACGGGCAACACGCTCGTTTTTTCCGCGAAGCCTTAGCTTGATCAGGGGCGAAACGGCAAGGGGGGTCCAACGGCCCCCCCCCCCCTTATACGTTCGCGGCTGGAAAAACACCAGTACGGGCGAGGGCTAATTATGTATGCCCATTGAGATCATTTTAGTACAATGACCGAAAAAAATGTGTGCCGCACATGCACTGTTATGTAGTTCGTTTTTGGTAACCGGACCTGACCATGACCGTACACTTTGTATGGAATTGCATACAATGCACCTTGTTACGGAGCGAGCGAAGCGAGCGTAGTCTTTCCTTAGATTCGGAAATTTCTGAGTATGAGCGGCCGGCCGGCCGGCCGTGGTCACGCTTTTGCGAGGCTTATATCTCAGCAGCCACTTGACCGATTTACACGCGGTAATTTTTGTAGGGTAGCTTCATTCCTTCTACTAAGTATTTGACTATTCCTGATGCATGTGGGTGACCCCTTATGCACGTGCCACGTGCAAAACGAAGAGGTGTCCGTTTTGTAATTGTTGCAATATCTCGGTAACTACTTGGCCGATTGCGCTGAAAGTTGGCATGTAGGTAGGCACCCACTAGGCACTGCATATCCATGTGCCAGAGTTGGGGCGCTGCTGCACGTGCGCACGTGCAGGGGTCGTTTCCAGATCTCGCGAACGGCTCGACCAATTACCCTCAAATTTGGTACACAGTTAGGGACCGGTTAGTAGGGTGCCGTGCACAAGTCAGTTGGGACCCATTTTGCACGTGCGCACGTGCAGGGTGCCGCTTCCAGATCTCGAGAACGGCTGGGCCGATTGTGCCCAAATTTGGCACCTAATTCGCTAGAGACCGGCTAGCAGGGTGCCATGCACAAGTCGGTTGGAGGTACCCCCTCGCAATTTTGCACGTGCAAGGCCCACCCTCTCGCTCGCTCCGTTAGTCGCCCCAAAAGGCGTTATACTGGTATTGTAGTCTAAAAACTTGTTCTGTGTCACCAATCTCAGTCAACTCTTCGTCAACTGAGCTTTAAAGCAAGTAATGTAGAAACGTGCATTTTTACCATTGACATGAGAAGCCATCATGAGGTCGCTGGAGGGAGCGCCGGCCGACGTCTCGGAGCAGGCACACCTATCGGAGCTCTGCGTGGAAGACGGCCAGTCTCCCCGCTCAGTGGACCTGGACGGCGACTTTACCTACCGGCTGGTGGGCGTCGTCAGCCACTACGGCAGCGCCACGCACTCTGGGCACTACGTGTCGGATGTGTACAGCGTCGGAAGGGACAGGTGGTTCCACTACGACGACCGGCGCGTCAGCTGTGTGGACGAGGCCAGGTCATGTCAGGTCAGTACACAAGGTCAAGTTAACTGACCAAGCCTAAAAAAAGTTTGCAATCATGTCCAGTCTGCAGTGTTTGTCAGAAAGGTTTCAAACTTGGTGGATTGCATGCTGTTATGGGCGCCTACAATTTGTATATCTCGGATTTTTTATATCCGTGACCTAAGGTCAGGTCAGTTGCATGACCTTTCCATTACAAGTCAATGGAGAAAAATGAAAATGCCTCTAGATCCGTGTGTACGCATAGAAACAGTCCAAATATTTCAGAATCACAATGACTTAGTCCACTCGTGATGACCAAGGTGTCATTTTTGCTGATAGCCTTTAGAAAGGTCATCCGAGGTCATTTGAGGCTACAAACAGTTTTTTGCCCATAACTCGCGATTGAAAAGAGATAGAACGCTGGGGTTGGTCTCATTGTGTTTGTCTTGTTGAGACGCATCGACTGACATGCAACATGACCTTTTCCGGTCAGGTCATGACCTTGACCTGAGGTCAAATTTTCAAGTTGACCTTTCAAGGTCAAATTATAGTTCATTCGACGCGTCTCGGCGAGAGGAACACGATTCTGGCGATATAAATGTCGTGGCTTTTTGTAGTCGAAAGTTATTGTCGAAAAACACTTTTCGTAAAAGCAGCTATTTTTGGAGTTTTTGCCCTCTGGAGGCTAAACCGTTGACCTGAGGGCAATATTGATAATAACCTTTTCAAAAGAAGAGTTCAAAAACTATCGATTGTTGTTCCATGCGTTTTTCTAGCTACCATAGTTCCTGAGATAGTGGCATGTTTTCTGAAAAATATAATGACGATTGGCAAATTTTGACCTTTGATGACCTCTGGTGACCCGAATATTGCTCTATGGTGAAAAATGACTGAAATACTTTCAAACGTACGCATTGAGAGCTATCGACTGATTTTTACCGCGTCTTTCTAGCCCTCTTAGTTTTTGAGTTAGAGGTGGGTGGTAACATATGCCCCCCCCCCCCCCCCCACTAGGGCGAAGTTGGCTGAAGCCGCCACTGGGGCGCGGGTAAAAAAAAACAGAAAAATTATGTTCTGGAACGAAGCTCTTAGCTGACTTAGGAACGAGACCGACCATCCCAAAATGTTGGCTTAAGTGCAAACTGGTAATGCATTTTTGACCGTGGTCAATTTGCTTTGCTTACACCAGTTATTACCACACCCCTCCGGCTAATGTAGGTATTTGAATAGGACAGGCGTACAGGATAAGATGAAAAATATCGGCGCTCGTGCCATCTTTTCACTCGGGACGATCGGTCTCTCGTTAAACGATTACCACACTCGTGCTGATAATTTTTTATCATCCCGGCAGACCCATGCATAATTATATGTATCTTCCACTCGGAGCCATGAAGAATCGTCTATATCTTCCACTCAGAGCCATGCAGAATCCTATATAGGTATCTTACGTGAGCTTGTTCAACAAAGGAATTGTTTTTTATGAGTCCAAATGAGCACGCGAGCCCTTGCTATTGAATATACAACGAGTACTTACTTCATAGTTTTGTGTCAACGTCTTAACCCTCGCCCGTAAACGGCGATCTGCCACCTTCGCCCATGCAGGGGGGGGGGGTTGGTGCGACCCCCCCTTGGCGTTTGAAAACGGAGCGTCGTAGAGCTTAGCGGAAAAAACCAACGGATTGCTCTCAACGAGATCTCGCGATTGGTGGTATATTTTTTGGTCGTAGGTCAACATTTGACCTACTTTTGACCGGTCAAAGGTCAAATTTTCGGAAAAATAGACTTTTTTTCAACTTTCCGCGGCGATTGCGGCAAAACGGTGGGCGATATCGACTTGAAACCTTCACTATCGTGTTCCTTGATCAATTCTCTATCGTTTGGTATGTATTTCGTTTCCCTAGCTCTAAAAATGGCGCGTTGGGAGCGCCGGAAGTCGGCAAGGTCACAGTCGGCGGCAGAAATTCGAAAAATCAGGATTTAAATTTTTGAAATCTGATTGTATTTTTGGATTTGGGAGGTCCATTTGCTCCCTATAGAAGCTAATATTGCTGCATATTCCCATTGAGGTGACAAGAATTAGCAAAATAGTGGTTCGGGCGCTTTTCAAAAATAGTACCGGACGCTGTTCCTCTTGTGACGTCATAGCTCCGTGACCTGACCTGACCCGGTCAAGTTTCTTATACCATATGATAGCCAATACTTGCCCCAACATGCATGGGAAGTTTCATCACGATCCATCAACCGATGTCCGTACCACCGGCAGGAAACCTCGGGCGTTGGCACTCAGTTTGTGAAAATCCGGCCGGAGGCTGTTCCCTTTGTGACGTCATAACTCCGTGACCTGACATGACCCGGTCAATTTTTTTATCAAAAGATGCGCAAGGTTTGCCCTATAAGGTACCCAGAATTTGGCGGCGCTGCGCGCCGCCGTTTTTACACTATTTCCGAAAAACCTCAGGGGGGGGGGTTGAACCAACCACCCCCCTACATGGGCGAGGGTTAAAACCCTCGCCCCGTTGGGGGGGGGGCCATTTTGGCCCCCCCTGTGGTTTTTCCTGAACAGCAAGAAAACGGCAGCGCGCAGCGCCGCCAAATTTTCAGTACCTTCCCGGGCCTCAATTTGACACCTTCACACCAAATTTCAAGTCTTAGGTCACCTTAGGTCAGGAGTTATTGAGGTCAAACTGAGGTCATGTTCGAGCAAAAATGAGCAAAAAACATGCAATCTTGAAACGCTCACCAAATCTACAGTTATCAAGCAATTTCAAAGTTCTTTATATGGTCTAGTAGACAAAAAGCGGCGCTACAAAACTGTTATTTTGGATTTTCAAAATTTTGGGTTTTTGACCCCAAAAAGTCAAAAAATTGATTTTTTTTAAACTAAAAAAAAAAATCCAAAATGTTTCCGAATTTCGAAAAAAAAAAACGGAATATATGTGATAGTCCCTGCGCTCTTCTATATACATACCAAATTTCAGATCGATATCTCGTTTTTTGGCCAAGTTATAGCGAAAAAACTGTTCAAAAATGATGACGTCAAATTTTTGAACTCAATTTTTAACCCGGCAGTTGCTGGGGTATTTCGCCACCCACCGTTTGCTGGGGGGGGGGGGGGCGTTAAACGCCCCCAGCCGATAACTCGAGAACCAATAGGCGCAGCGAAACGCACGAGGCGGCAAACGAAAGAACGCGACGAGACGCTTCAGATGAGTACTTTAAACTTGAATTTTGAGGTCACAGGTCAGGTCAAGGTCAGGTCAAACACCTGAAATCGGGCTTTCAGTAGCATGGACTTCAGGACTTCGCAATGGGCGCCTCTCGTTATAAACTCTGTCAAAACGGTGCACAATCCATCATATAAGGCCTACAAGAGTGTCAGCTCCATGCAGGGGTCAGTCAAGCATAGGTCAGGCAGTGGCGCGGGAACTTCTTCCAGACTGGGGGGGGGGCTGAACCATCATAGAGATCAACCTAGGGTACCCCCAAATCTAGTTTTCTCATCGGTTTTAGGCCACTTATTTTTCAGACCTTCGCCTTTTCAACGAAAAAAAAGAAGAAAATATTTGCAAAAAAGTGAGGTATTCCGTCTCAGCTGAGTGAAGAAACCACCGTTTTGGCAACCTGGAATAAAGGTTTTAAACTGCCAAATGAGTTGCCGAGTCAGTAAAATAGGTAGATTTTTCACTCACATGCTTTCTTCCTTTGTGACTCACAACCCCTAATTTTGGGGGGACAAGCTGCCCCAACGGTTCCTGGCCTCATGAAAAGTTGTGAGGCACCGCCCCCACGGCCCCAGAGTTGTGAGGGCAAGCTTCCCCCACTGCCCTCTCCCCCGGTTCCCGCGCCTATGTATGAATCTATGAAATTGTGTTGGTAGATTTCCGATTTCGATTCCTCCAGCTGGGGGGGCTCAAATACATTACGAGCCCCCCCAGCCGAAAAGTTGGAGGGGCTCAGCCCCCCCTAGCCCCCCCCGTTCCCGCGCCACTGGGTCAGGGTCAAGGTCAGGTCAACCGGGCAGGCACATATCCCCGAAAATAAAAAACTGATATTCGCAGCCTGTGACACATGTTGTATGGGTAATTTGGGGCGTAGAGCACGATGGTGACATTCATTTTGTCATATGTGTACGTGTTTGGCTAAAAAACTTCAATTTAAGAAATGCATGTATCATGGTCGTGAAGTAGTCACGAGAAATTGCCAAGATTCAGTTCAAGATTTTGGAAAATGCGGAACGATAATCAATAATCGAAGATAGCCATCTGATTGCTCATGGTATTGGCAGTCTAATGGCGTTTACGGCATGTCTGTATGTCTATTCTGTGATTTTATATGATGTTTTGAACATATGCCGTTTTTGGTCGAAAACTCAGAAATCATGACGTCACTAAAACCTCGATATCTCAAAAATTTTCCGACCGATATTTTTGAAACTTTGTCACAATAAACTTCAATCAATTCCCTACAGGTACCCAAAATTTGGCGCGCCTGCGGCGCGCCATTTTATTGCTATGGCCCGGCGAAAAAAGTGGGGGCGTTTAACGCCCCCCCCCCAGCAACTCGCGGGTTAAGCGATTCTAGACCACTTACGGCAAAACAAAGACCACCATTGAACTCCCCGTGACGAGCTGCATCGAATCGACACCCATTTTATGCAAAATAATAACTTTGAAATTTGACCTAATTGACCTAATTTGACGCCAATGACAGTATTGTGACATTTGATCGCGTTTGACCGCGGCGGGTTGTCGCTGGTTTCGGCAGCTCAGTGGATACACGCTAGCGTCGTGGGGTGACCGGTTGGAGAAACCCGGTTCGAACCGTCCCAGGTGCGCGACTTATTTTTTCCTAGATGGAACGGTTTGCTATTGGTGACTGCGACCACACATTAGAGGAACATAAGAGTTGGGACGCCGCGCTATCCAAAAACCCCAGTTCCCACGTCTCTGGACGATTGATGTGCGAAATAATAGACACCAATGAGCTCAATCAAGGCCTTAATACATATCTGTTAAAAACAATGTAGCTCCGCAACTCGATGCACGTGTGATATAAATTCTATCGGCTGTCCCAATGTCACGTTTAAGTGTGTCGTAATGTGCATGGCAAGTATGATGATAGGCGCAGTCTTGGGGACAGGACATTTTAACAACTGCTTTAGCACAATTGTTAGGTAGAATAATTGGCGCCTTGAGACGCGAAAGTTAACTACACTCGCTCAGCCGCGCGATGGTCCGTGCTCCCACCCCACCTCACTCCCCAGCCCTCGCCAGACGCCGCGCCGCGCCGACCCGAGCCATGCCTCCGGGCACGGCCCTCACCGCTGCGCTGACGTCACAGGCGGCCCACATCGCCTTACAGCCAGCGACCCAGACCGGTGGCATACGGTGTGGGTAGGCTGTGCCGCTTGACAAGTAAGTGAAGCGGCACAGTCTACCGGTACCAGGCGGCTGCTGCCAATGCTGAGCCATAGGAACCCGGTGGATAAAGAGTTGTGGAACATCAATCTGCCCCCGAGTGTACATTCATGCACGGCGTCCTTATATAGGCTCACGGCGCTGGAGACCCAGTAGCATTTGTCCCCGTGTGCTTTGAAGCGGAAGGGGCAGCCGCCGGCGACGACGGAGACGGCGGCGGCCACCAGCGTCAGGCACAGAGTCCACGTCATCATGATGGCAGTGACGTCACTTCTGACAGTGTTGTTAATAACGTGCTTCTCAGCTTAGCACCTGTGGGGTAAATAATGCAAAGTGAAGGTCAGCACCGGCGGATCCGATCAATTGGTTCACGTTTGTCATGAAATATGTTGTCGAAAAAAACAGCATATCTGTTTGCACCTTTTCAGACGTCAAACGTCAGAAAACTTTCAAGTTAACCCGCGCCCCACTGGGGTCTGTGTATAACACGCCCTACTGGGGGGGGGGGGGCTATTCATAGCCCCCCCCCCCCTGCTAACTCCGAAACCACTGGGCCGATCGTCAAAATTCAAACGGCGTCTGATAGCCCCGGAAAAACTGTCGAGCGAAACCTAATTTCATTGACCTCGAGTGTTATGTAATGGGCCGTGTGCACACCTGTGCAGACCCCTGCCTGGGCATTGGCGGTGGCCGATATGTGAGTTGCCTGCTACTGTGTGTGTGATACCTGGGTCGGTCCCTGCCCAGGTCAGGGACTGCCTGAGGGGACGATCCTCCTGTCGTCCCCACCACCGTGCTACAATACAGTCAGTCGGAACCGAGCGGTGGTGTGTCGATGGTGGGCCGCGAGACATAACATTGGCGACGAGCGGAGTGAGGACGGAGCCATGCCGTTGAGGAAGATTGAAGAATTTCACCAAGGACAAGATAACTGGGAAGAGTATGCGGAAAGGTTGGACCAATTCTTCGTGGCTAATGACATCCAGGACGATGCTAAGAAGAGGGCCATTCTTCTCAGCAGCATGGGAGCTCGGACATACGGTACGGTAAGATCGCTGTTGTCACCGAAGAAACCAAATGAGGTGACGTATGTCATGATTGTTGAAACATTGAGCAAGCAATTTTGTCCGCCCACATCGGTAACTGTCTCAAGATATCGGTTCTTTTCCTGTTGTCGAGTACAGTCAGCAGTGGCGCGGGAACCGGGGGGGCTAGGGGGGGCTGAGCCCCTCCAACTTTTCGGCTGGGGGGGCTCGTAATGTATTTGAGCCCCCCCAGCTGGAGGAATCGAAATCGGAAATCTACCAACACAATTTCATAGATTCATACATAGGCGCGGGAACTGGGGGAGAGGGCAGTGGGGGAAGCTTGCCCTCACAACTCTGGGGCCGCGGGGGCGGTGCCTCACAACTTTTCATGAGGCCAGGAACCGTTGGGGCAGCTTGTCCTCCCCAAATTAGGGGTTGTGAGTCACAAAGGAAGAAAGCATGTGAGTGAAAAATCTACCTATTTTACTGACTCGGCAACTCATTTGGCAGCTTAAAACCTTTATTCCAGGTTGCCAAAACGGTAGTCTCTTCACTCAGCTGAGACGGAATACCTCACTTTTTTGCAAATATTTTCTTCTTCCTTTTTTCGTTGAAAAGGCCAAGGTCTGAAAAATAAGTGGCCTAAAACCGATGAGAAAACTAGATTTGGGGGTACCCTAGGTTGATCTCTATGATGGTTCAGCCCCCCCCCCCCCAGTCTGGAAGAAGTTCCCGCGCCACTGACAGTCAGAGTCTGTTCAGGAGTTTGTGGCGCGCCTGCGACAGCTGTCACGGGATTGCAAATTCGAATCGTTTCTTGATCAAATGATCAGAGACCGGCTCGTGTGTGGAGTTAACTCTGACCCCATTCAGCGCAGGTTGCTGGCAGAAGCTGAGCTGACTTTGCCGCAGGCAATCAAGATTGCTGTGGCAACGGAAACAGCAGGTCAAAACCTACAGGAGCTGCAGCGGGAGCTGGCCAGCCGGTGGTGTCCGCTACGGGGGAGACGGCAGTGAACCGTGTCCGGACGGGCCCGTCAGCCTCACAGCGGACCAGCCAGGAGCGACACAACGCCAGTACATAAGCAAGCGCGGCATGAAGGTGAGAGATGCTGGCGCTGTTTGAACAGAACGCACTCTGAATCCGAATGCTACTTTAAACGTAAGCGCTGCTTCCAGTGTTCCAAGTACGGGCATACTTCGGCCGCTCACCGGGCAGGGACGGTGAAACATGTTGGGTCGGAGGTGGTCCGTCAGGAGGTGCAGGATCTGGGGAAGAGCAGAGTGTGATGGAGGCAGACACTGAAGAATGTGACTTTATCGGGGAGGTTTTTCAGTGTCGGGAGCGGATTCATGTGGTGAAAAGCCGGCCTCCGATCATGCTGGACATGTCGCTGGATGGGCGTGATGTCAGGATGGAGCTTGACACGGGTGCATCTGTATCCGTCTGTTCGTTCAGCAGGTTTCAAGAGCTCTGGCCGGAGAAGAAACGCCGTCTGCAGCCAGCAGCCGTGCGGCCTCATCCTACACACCTTCTCAGGCGAGCCTTTGAAGGTCCGAGGTGAGGTACAGATGGACGTGGTGTACCGGGGAGAGTCGTTTAGCCTGCCCCTGGTAGAAGTTGATGGGACAGGGCCGCTGCTCTTCGGCAGGAACTGGTTGGAGAGCATCAGACTGGACTGGAGAACCATCTGCATGGTGACGACGCAGACGCTGGGAAGCGGAGTTGAGTCTGTGCTGCATAAGTACTCTGATGTGTTTGCGGATGAGTTGGGATGTGCGAAGGGGATTGTGGTAGATATCCCGATTGACCCAGACACACGCCCCATCTTCTACAAGCCCAGACCGGTACCGCTGGCGTACCGTGCTGCTGTCGACGCCGAGCTGGACCGTCAGATCCGGGCCGGGCTGCTGGAACCGGTGAAACACTGCACGTGGGCTGCACCGATCGTCACTGCACTGAAGGCGTCAGGTGAGGTCCGTCTCTGTGGTGATTATCGGTTAACCCGGCAGTTGCTGGGGTATTTCGCCACCCACCGTTTGCTGGGGGGGGGGGGGCGTTAAACGCCCCCAGCCGATAACTCGAGAACCAATAGGCGCAGCGAAACGCACGAGGCGGCAAACGAAAGAACGCGACGAGACGCTTTAGATGAGTACTTTGAAGTTGAATTTTGAGGTCACAGGTCGGGTCAAGGTCAGGTCAAACACCTGAAATCGGGCTTTCAGTAGCATGGACTTCAGGACTTCGCAATGGGCGCCTCTCGTCTTAAACTCTGTCAAAACGGTGCACAATCCATCATATAAGGCCTACAAGAGTGTCAGCTCCATGTAGGGGTCAGTCAAGCATAGGTCAGGGTCAAGGTCAGGTCAACCGGGCAGGCACATATTCCCGAAAATCAAAACTGATATTCGCAGCCTGTGACACATGTTATATGGGTAATTTGGGGCGTAGAACACGATGGTGACATTCATTTTACCATATATGTACGTGTTTGGCTAAAAAAGTTCAATTTAAGAAATGCATGTATCATGGTCGTGAAGTAGTCACGAGAAATTGCCAAGATTCACTTCAAGATTTTGGAAAATGCAGAACGATAATCAACAATCGAAGATAGCCATTTGATTGTTCATGGTATTGGCAGTCTAATGGCGTTTACGGCATGTCTGTATGTCTATTCTGTGATTTTATATGATTTTTTGAACATATGCCGTTTTTGGTCGAAAACTCAGAAATCATGACGTCACTAAAACCTCGATATCTCAAAAATTTTCCGACCGATTTTTTTTGAAACTTTGTCACAATAAGCTTCAATCAATTCCCTACAGGTACCCAAAATTTGGCGCGCCTGCGGCGCGCCGTTTTTATGCTATGGCCCGGCGAAAAAAGTGGGGGCGTTTAACGCCCCCCCCCAGCAACTCGCGGGTTAACGGTCAACAAAGTAACGCCGCTAGAGAGGTACCCGATGCCCAAGACTGAGGAGCTATTCACGCTGTTTCAGGGTGCCAGAATTTTCACGAAACTAGATCTGAAAAGCGCATATAATCAGATTCAGTTAGATAAAAACAGCAGGAAGTACATGGCTATCAATACGCACAAGGGAATATTGGTACCGACTAGGCTGGGTTTTGGATATGCCTCAGCCCCGGCGATTTTCCAGAGATACATGGAATCGCTGCTCGCTGGAATCCCAGGAGTTGGTGTGCTGATCGATGACGTCATTGTCTCAGCAGGATCCGAACAGGAACATCTGCAGCGGCTGGAGGAGGTTCTGAGACGTCTGTTGGAGGCAGGACTGCGACTGCAGCGGAAGAAGTGTCAGTTCGCGGCATCAGAAGTGGTGTATCTGGGACACCACATCACGGCAGATGGTATCAAACCAACAGCAGACAAGGTCAGTGCCATTGAAAAAGCCCCAGAGCCCAAAAACTTGAAAGAGCTTCAGGCATGGCTCGGCCTGGTCAACTATTACGCGAAGTTCCTGAAAAACCTCGCCACAGAACTGGCACCGCTGTATCAGCTGCTGAAAAAGGAGCAGAAGTGGGAATGGGGCCCAGCTCAGAGGAAGGCGTTTCAGAGTACGAAAGGAATGCTGAAATCAACCCTGACTTTAGCGAACTTTGACGAGACAGCTCCAGTCATTTTGGCTTGTGATGCCAGCCCGGTGGGGGTAGGATGTGTCCTAAGTATCATGGACAGGAACCATGTTGAGAGGCCAGTTGCGTTCTACTCGCGGTCTCTGTCGGAGACTGAGAGACGGTATTCCCAGACCGATCGCGAGGGTCTGGCAGTGATTGCTGGTCTGGCCAGGTTCAATTTTTACTTGGCAGGTCGTGAATTCTTGATCCGGACAGATCATAAGCCGCTGCTGGGTATGCTTGGAGGAAATAAGCCGGTATCACTGATGGCCTCTCCCCGGGTGACACGACGGGCTATGCTGCTCTCGGGGTACAAGTATAAGATGGAATATGTACCGGGTATCAAGCAGGGACACTGTGATGGATTGAGCCGACTTCCTGTGTCTGCAGGATCGCCCCAGCTGCCCGTTCCAGCTGAGACGGTGCACCTGATGCAGTTCTTCGACTCGTCACCGGTCACCGCTGAGTCCATCCGTCTGTTCACCGCCAGGGATCCTGTGCTGAGTGCCGTTCTGCGCTTCACCAGAGAGGGCTGGCCGTCGGGCGACCTCGTGATGCCAGAGCTGGTACAGTACCGAAGCAAGGAAGGTGAGCTGAGCATTCAGGATGGATGTTTGCTGTGGGGGTCACGGGTGGTGGTACCCCCCAAGATTCGGCCTAGAATTCTGTCTATGCTGCATGAGGGACATCTGGGAGAGAGTCACACGAAAAGTTTCGCTCGTATGTATGTCTGGTGGCCTGGGATAGACAGAGAAGTCTCTGAACTGGTGCGTCACTGCCCGACATGTCAGCAGTATCGCCGACAGGCACCCGTGACGCCACTCAGTCCGTGAGCTTGGCCGAAAAATCCCTGGGACCGAGTGCATATTGATCACTGCCAGTTCGATGGCCACCTGCTGTTGATTGTTGTCGATGCGTACTCAAAATGGATTGACGTGCACTTGGCCCGTTCCACGACAGCCGAGAAGTCACCGATGACGTCACAGGTCAGGTCAAAGTAAAAATTATTAGCACTTTGGCTTGTTCACATTTTGGGCTCTGGCCGCCGTCTTACAAGTCAGATCAGGCTCATTTTTGGTTTCCACACTCGTGAACAGATGCTTTAGATACCTTGAGGGTACCAAACTTGTGCTTTGATTTTCAGGTCAGGGTCAGGTCATCACAGGTCACGAAAATATCATATCATGCGTCGGTCACGTGACACATGTTGTATGGTCCATTTAGGCCATAGATTTCGAATTTGATGTCATCTGTGTCATTCGAGGTCATTTTGAGTCGAATTTAGCTTAGGTCAGGTCACTTTCAGGTCAAAAAGGTCAAATTTTGAAGTTTAAATTTTTCAACAAAAAAAGTGTCTATTGGATGCAGTTTGAGCTCAGGAACACGATGGTGCCATTTATATTGGTGTACGATGTCAAATACGTACTGAAAAATTGATTTGAAAAATTAATAATTGTGAATTTTTTGCAATAATGCGTATAACTTGGCCATTTTTGAAGATATTTAGCTAAAACTTGCTAGAGTTAGTCATAATCATGCGTTCTGTCACATATATTCCGGTTTTTTCGAAAAGTCAAAAACTTTTTGAAAAAAATATAAAAATATAAATTTTGAATATTATTATATAAAATTTTCGAAATTTTCTAAATTTTGAAAATCCGAGATAGCAGTTTGATAGCGCGGTCAATTCTGAGTCCTTTCATGCATAGAAATTGGATCTAGCTTAAAAACTGAGCGCTTGGGAGCGATTGCCGTGGTTCAATGTTTTGCGTCGAAATCGGCCGAACATGACGTCACTCTGACGTCATTTCCGGCCGACCTATGGTAGCTACGAAGTTCAAATTTTGACACAAGGTGTCAAATTAATGCAGCCGAAGGTACTGAAAGCTTTGTGTCAATCCGTCAAGCGTTTTGGAAGTTATTGCAGAAAAACGGGAGGGGGGCTATAAATAGCCCCCCAGTGGGGAGCGGGTTAAGTTACACGTCAACTAGCGCCCCCCCCCCCTGTGTCGGGAAGGGTATGAATGAGACAAATGTCGTTCTGTCAAAGATCTTTCAGTTTCCCATTCCGTTGCACTCTAAATCGTGAGAAGCCTTGCCATGCTGTGTTTCAATTCATGATTCTGTTTATGACTTTTTTACGGACAGTTCAGGCCTTCAATTTGATACCGGCCATAGTGGCCACTATGCGCCACTATGGCCGCCATAGTGGCGCATAGGGGCGCATAGTGGCGTTTGTCGAAATGAATAAAATAAGGGAGCTGAATGAAATGGGCTAAAATAAATTAAATACGCTCGAGGCTTTACATCGAGAGATTCATCCAGCAAAAGTAGATTTACCAGATCCGTTGGCGTTGGGCAAAAGACGCTTCATTTTTTTTTTTTACTTTTACGTCTCTACAATATAAGCGATGTGCAGCATTAGCTGTGACATATAAGTGCATGTATGGCCTAAACTTTTGAATTCATTTTAAAAGAGATAAAACGCAAAAATTACCCCTGGGGGGTAATTTTAAAATTACCCCTGGGGGGTAATTTTTGCGTTTTATCTCTTTTAAAATGAATTCAAAAGTTTAGGCCATACATGCACTTATATGTCACATCTGTCATTTGATAATCCTCAACATGCAGCATTAGCATTTCACTGCCGGTTCGGATTTTATCATAACCCTCGCATGTGTAGGGGGGGGGGTCGGATGCCCCCCATGGTTTTTTCGCGAATAACTCGCGCAAAAAGCGGCCGATCACGACGGAACTTTCAGTACCCTCGAGTTGATCAATTTTACACCTACTCTGAAACTTTCATGACCCTGACCCAAATGACCTTTGACCTGTGACCTGATTCTCGAGACCATGTTCGGCCGGAATCGCGATTTGGCGTATATCAGCTCACGTTATCCGCGCGTTTCCAGTATTTTTGTGATTGTAAAGGTCCAAACATGTGAAATGAGGTTCGTCCCATGCATCACGGTGGGTGTCAAGGTCACGTGAAGGTGAGGTCAGGTCATTGACCTTTGATGACCTCGGTTCATTTTTTCGAGTTTTACATGTTGCTAGGGTAGTTTTTCGGGATGATTTTGAATTTAGCATCCATTTGAACATTTACGAAGTAGTTTTAGTGCCTAAGTAACATGTTATGACGCCGTCGGTAGAAGTTGACACCTACATGGAAAGCCGGTAGGACATCTACTGGTTGACCTGACCCGACCTGATCCGACCTAGCCTAAATGCATGAAGACATCATCTGTGATCAAAACTAACATGATATTCGTGATCAGCACCCCGAAAAACCCCATAACAGCTTCACTTTAGAAAGTTCTAGCAGGTCCCGATTTTCCCGACTTTTAGGTCTTTGACCTGACCTGGAAGGTCAACCAATGACCTAGGACCTTAAAATTGGGTATCATCGGCTCTCTCTCGTCACGGGCAACTCGTTTTTTCCGCGAAGCGCTAGCTCAATCAGGGGTCGAACGGCAGGTGGGGGGTCCAACCGACCCCCCCCCCCCCCCCCCCCCTCCTACACAGACGCTGTAAAACGCCGCACACATGCGAGGGCTATAATAGCCGTTTTCACGACGGCCATCTGGTACACATCTGGTACAGATTAGGTGCAGATTTGGCCAAATCAGGTTCAGTGTGTCTCTTAGCAGCTATCAGCTAGGGCTGCACTAATTACTTGCTTTGCCTGCCTGCTTTGTCATATTATCAGAGAGCATCATCGATTAAAACACTGAAATAAGTTCATAAAATGAAGATATTTGCTGTAAAAGAAATTAGGTGCAGATTTGGTCAAATCAGGTGCATTCGCCGGATAGCCCGTCGTGAAAACGGCTAACAATGGCTTCTGCCTTTTTTTGCGTCTCTGACGTAGATCTACTGGCAAACTTCTATGATTGTCGCTTGTTCTAGGGACTTTGCAGTGGTTAAACTTTTCATTAATTTTCATTTTACCTATTCAAACGGACTTTTAATGTGTTATAGGTTGGGACATTCCAAATCAAGTTTGTCCTTGAAATATTGTAAGTACTAAACACAATGGAACTTTAACGCTATTCTGGCTTTTGCGACATATGTATGTAAGCCGTAAGCTACGGAATCACACAGTAACAATAAGGAGCCAGTTCAAACTTCAAACCTATGCTGACGAGTGACGATACATGCTTAGTAAAAAGAGGGTACATTCCATTTCAAAGAAGTCCTAAATGTGTGATTCTCACCTGCTTTTACCAAGCAATCCACGTAGCTGCGTCGTCACGTCGTTTCCGGAGGGAAAAGACTTCACGTACTGAAACTGACGTCCACTGCATGTTTAAAGGTACTCTGCTATCAGGTCGTGGCGTCGAACGCTTTTGATATCGCCACCGGGGGGCTGAGGCTGATGAAGATGGAAAAACACAGCCGCTGCATAAACTCTAAGAGCCTATGTGAACCAACAGGTGGTACCCTGGTCTCCATCAAACTGGCATGTCATGCTCTACCTACAAAGTCGCCCATTTGGCTGGAATGTTATGCCAGCAAGCTTCCATTTCCATTTTCGGCGACGAAAGGGCGGGCGCGGTAGTTCATTCTGCACGCGCACACGTGCAAAGTGAGATCCTAGCTGCGTTTGATTTTCGAGCATACGCTGACTTTATGGCAGCCTATGCCCGATTTTCATTTTTTTTAAATTTACCCTGACTTTTTAGGCAGGGTAAACTGAAACTAACGTATTTTGATAGGAAACGTCCAGATCCAAGCTTATACTGATTTTGGAGCACGTCAGCTTAAATCCTGCATACCCTACCCTGCCTTGGCAAATTGTAACCTTTTGCTAGTTCTTATTCTATCCACCAGGTGACAACACAGAAAGAAACATTTTCCCTGTTCATTGAAAGCATGGCAGCAGCATTACTTCATTTGGCTACAATTCGAGTGCGAAAAAGGACGCTACGTCTGTGGCGCAGCGTGTGAAGGGGTTGTTTCAAGGCCAAGGCCGTATATACGTATGGCTACAATTCGAGCGCGACAATCAGTACCTTTTTCCAATTAATTTGACATCTTTTGAGTAAAAAGGTTTTGACCTAGCCCCCTTGATGACGTCACAGGGCCGACTTTGCTAGGCCCCTGCACAGCAAACTTCAGCGCCAGAGACGTGAACTTCTAAATGCTGCCAAAAAATAGAGTTTTAGAGATAAAGACAAACTACGAGCACGGCTGTGTAACGTTTGACCTATAAAAATTGCAAAAATAGTTTTGGTGACTTGAGGTCAGAGGTCAGGTCAACCACCCCGAGCTGGGGTTTTAGTTTTTCGCGAATAACTTCTACAAAATGATCCTAGAGCTACGACAGTGGTACTTACCATTGCATTTGTCTTGTCCAGCCGCGTCGAATGATAGGGGAGAGCGGGGCCAGTTGAACCACTTTTTATATATTGACATGCACAGCGAGATCTAGTTGGCATATCGAAAAATGCACAATGCCATGAAAAATATGCTCTTTTGGCTTTATTTTAAGATATGTAAAATTATGTTTCAAACATATTTTGCTGCCAAACGCATGCTTATAAAACAGCTCTACGCCCGTTTCAAATGACCCCGATGCGAGGGTCAATTGAACCAGCCTATGGGGTCAATTGCACCTATTCTTAACAATGGAATGTTTTCCTCTTTAAGGCCACTTTCTTAAGGAGATATTTTGTCCGGTTTACTTTTCCAAATGCTACATTCAATAGGTCGTTGGAAAGCTAAAAGTGCAAAGTTCCTCATAATAGGTGACATAAAGTACATAGACTATGGTAAAATGGGCGGATGAGGAAAATGAGAAATATCTCAGGCTATAGTGTGCTTTCAAGCAAAAGGCTGGAGAAAAAGGGGTCAAAAATTGAGCTCTATTAAACTACTATTTCAGTTTAAAAGCTCATTTCAAAGGTGGACTATTTCCTTTAATGTTTACAGCCCCTGAACAATAACCATTGCAAAGGTCACCGGGGTCCATTGAAACGGCCTGTGGCCCTGTTTCAACTGACCCTCAGAAAAGCGTTTCAATTGACCCCATCCGCTTCCGCCATCTCGCACGCGCCGTAAAGCACATGTCAAACGAGTTGGAGGGACGGCATCATGCTGAATGAAGGGCCAAATAAGGTGTTATTCCGGAGCTAGGAGTTCTTCTTTCAGCAAACAAAGGTATATGAGATATCACAAAATATTCATTAAAACGATTTCTCCCAAACGCCCCTCAAAAACACAAAAACAAGTGTCAAATCAAAATTACCGTCCGTTTGCCGCCCAAACGCCGTTGACAAAGGAAGTGGTCGAGCGCGGATGCGCAGTGGTGTCGGCAACGCCATATGTTGCATACTGTTGAAAATAAAGCCATGTTTCATCTGACCCCGTGTTTCAACTGGCCCCGCTCTCCCCTACATATTTTGTCGGAGAAGGTCAAAATTTATATTGACCTCATGCAACCTAGAATGACATTTGCTTGACCTTGATACATGAAAGGTCGTATATGATTGATTCGTAGCCGCTGATAAGAATCTGGCTGATCCGTTTTGCTCTAAGCGTTCATTTGGAGCCTATGGAAGACAGAATTGTGTTAAGGGTTAATCCTCGCCCCAACGGGGCGAGGGTTAACGCCTGTCGCGCCGTTAGGGGGGGCATTTTGCCCCCCCCCCCTGTGGTTTTTCCTGAATAGCAAGAAAACAGCGGCGCGCAGCGCCGCCAAATTTTCAGTACCTTCCCGGGCATCAATTTGACATCTTCACACCAAATTTCAAGTCTTAGGTCACCTTAGGTCAGGAGTTATTGAGGTCAAACTGAGGTCATGTTCGAGCAAAAATGAGCAAAAAACATGCAATCTTGAAACGCTCACCAAATCTACAGTTATCAAGCAATTTCAAAGTTCTTTATATGGTCTAGTAGACAAAAAGCGGCGCTAAACTGCTATCTCGAATTTTCAAAATTTTGGGTTTTTGACCCCCCAAAATTCAAAAAATTGATTTTTTAAACTAAAAAAATCCTAAATTTTTCCAAATTTCGAAACAACCGGAATATATGTGATAGTCCCAGTGCTTTTCTATATACATACCAAATTTCAGATCGATATCTCATTTTTTGGTCAAGTTATAGCGAAAAAAACTGTTCAAAAATGATGACGTCAAATTTTTGAACTCAACTTTCAGCGATTCTAGACCACGTACGGCAAAACAAAGACCACCATTGAACTCCCCGTGACGAGCTGCATCGATTCGATACCCATTTTATGCAAAAATATTAACTTTGAAATTTGACCTAACTTGACCTGACCTTGACCTGACCTTGACCTGACCTTGACCTGACCTTGACCAAAACGTGACCTAAGCTGGCCCCAAAGGCTGCCTGACCCACATAATCGCATTTGTCATGTAAAATGGACCATAAAACATGTATCACACGTGACACGACACTCTCATATTGTGACCCCCCAGTGACCTGACCTCTATGACCTGACCTGGTATCAGTGACCTCAAATAGCAAAATATGTGTTTGAAGAACATTTTCCCATCGATGATTTTCAATGAAATGCATTTTACTCGATTTAACAACGCATTTCTTGAAATGCCTGTAAACGGTGAAAATTGGACCTTTGACCTGACCTGTGACGTCATCGGTTTGACCTAGGTCAATAAAATTGGGTCACAAGGTAGTTCCCTGATAGGGCTATCCAACACCGTTTGCCGCTTGTCGCTAGGTTGCGTGGTTCTCGAGATCTTAGAGGGGGCCAAAATGCCCCCCCCCCCCAACGGGGCGCGTTGCTCGGCAGAGCCCAACGGGGCGCGGGTTAATTGCTATGGCTATCTTGATCAGTGAAATAACCTCTAACAAGGATACTTTTCCGTGACCTTGACCTTGGAAAGCCCTGTATCGTAAGATGAACCACATATAGGGGCCTGAGAAGCTTCAAAACATTTCGAAACGTCTTGGAATTTGGTATATAAGATATGCGAAAAGTGAAGAGATTGAGGTCAATTTTGAGCGCGACCTTGACCTTGACTCTGAATATTTGATACACCATCGGAATCCTCAGGTACTCGTCTTTTGTTTTACACCTACTTTTTGTTGTTTTATGCGTCCTGCCGTCCTCTGAAAGACTTAATCACTACACATATGACGGTTTTTGTTTTTTGACCTTGACCTCTGACCTTGAAAATCGACCTGAGGCCAACAATTTTGGGTGCTTTAGAATCGTCTTGTTCAGATCTTTCGTTTTGTACCGCGTTTGTTTCCGTAGCTCTCTTATTTACGGAGTTATACAGGGGAGGGGTTGAAAAACGCCCCCCCCCCCCCCACCCGGCTACGGTGGCTGGGATTTCCCCCGGGCCCGGCCGGGCTAAAGCAGGAAGATGCATTTTTTGACGAGCGTAATAAATGAACATGCTAGCACTTGGCATTCAATATAAACAGAGTATAATAGTTTAGCGACAATGTCACTTGCAAGGAGAATGTGTCTGCCCCATTCACCAATTATTTATGGGCATCTCGTCAGTCATAAACGCATGCCGTGGATAAACAATGCATTTTCATCGACATAACACAATCGCATCCATTCCCCTCTCCCGATCACTTCGACACATTAACCCTCGCCCGTAAACGGCGATCTGCCACCTTCGCCCATGCAGGGGGGGGGTTGGTGCGACCCCCCCCTTGGCGTTTGAAAACGGAGCGTCGTAGAGCTTAGGGGAAAAGACCAACGGATTGCTCTCGCCGAGATCTCGCGATTGGTGGTATATTTTTTGGTCCTAGGTCAACATTTAACCTACTTTTGACCGGTCAAAGGTCAAATTTTCGGAAAAATAGACTTTTTTCAACTTTCCGCGGCGATTGCGGCAAAACGACGGGAGATATCGACTTGAAACCTTCACTATCGTGTTCCTTGATCAATTTGCTATCGTTTGGTATGTATTTCGTTTCCCTAGCTCTAAAAATGGCGCGTTGGGAGCGCCGGAAGTCGGCAAGGTCACAGTCGGCGGCAGAAATTCGAAAAATCAAAATTTAAATTTTTGAAATCTGATTGTATTTTTGGATTTGGGAGGTCCATTTGCTCCCTATAGAAGCTAATATTGCTGCATATTCCCATTGAGGTGACAAGAATTAGCAAAATAGTGGTTCGGGCGCTTTTCAAAAATAGTACCGGACGCTGTTCCTCTTGTGACGTCATAGCTCCGTGACCTGACCTGACCCGGTCAAGTTTCTTATACCATATGATAGCCAATACTTGCCCCAACATGCATGGGAAGTTTCATCGCGATCCATCAACCGATGTCCGTACCACCGGCAGGAAACCTCGGGCGTTGGCACTCAGTTTGTGAAAATCCGGCCGGAGGCTGTTCCCTTTGTGACGTCATAACTCCGTGACCTGACATGACCCGGTCAAATCTTTTTTATCAAAAGATGCGCAAGGTTTGCCCCATAAGGTACCCAAAATTTGGCGGCGCTGCGCGCCGCCGTTTTTGCACTAGTTCCGAAAAACCTCAGGGGGGGGGGGGTTGCACCAACCCCCCCCTACATGGGCGAGGGTTAACAGCTAAGGTGGTTTATACCTACGTGTCGACTTTCAATGAAAATACTAACTGTACCAGCGATATTTATTACGTGGCAGCCACCTGGCATGCGAAATACTCGTACTTTTCGGCACAATCAAGGCCGGCCCACAGGCCCCAGTCATCATAGTTGATAAGCGCACAGTCGCCGCCGACAGAGTCCGCGTCGTCCATGTACCAGAGACTGAAATCGTATGGACTTCCGTCGGCCCAGGTCCACGGGGCAGAGCTGTTGGCTCTGGACAGGCCAATCCAACCGGTCCTCCGAATTCCAGTAGTTGTAGCCAGAACCTCTTTGGCTATCAGCGTATTTTCTTCGGCGTCATGAATGGAAACCATTGTTGCGCCATTGTGTAATCTAGGACACTCATGCACGGCGTCCTTATATAGGCTCAGATAGTTGGACACCCAGTAGCATTTGTCTCCGTATGGTTTGAAACGGAAGGGACAACCGCCGGCGGCGACGGAGACAGCGGCGGCCACCAGCGTCAGACGCAGAATCAACGTCATCATGATGACGGTGACGTCATTACTGACGGTTGTGACGTGCTTCTGGGCTTAGCAGCTGTGGGTGAAATAAAAGAAGGTCAGTCAGCACCGTTCTTGGCAGTGTATTGTTGAAGTTTGAGATAAGACAAGATATCCATGTTTAACCCGCGCCCCAGTGGCGGTCTCCGCCAACTTCGCCCTAGTGGGGGGGGGGGGGGGGGCATATGTTACCACCCACCTCTAACTCAAAAACTAAGAGGGCTAGAAAGACGCGGTAAAAAGCAGTCGATAGCTCTTGATGCGTACGTTTGAAAGTATTTCGGTCATTTTTCATCTTAGAGCAATATTGGGGTCACCAGAGGTCATCAAAGGTGAAAATTTGCGAATTGTCATTATATTTTTCAGAAAACATGCCATTATCTCAGGAACTATGATAGCTAGAAAAACGCTGGGAAAAGCAATCGATAGCTTTTAAACTCTTCTTTTGATAAGGTTAATATCAAAATTGACCTCAGGTCAACGGTTTAGCCTCCAGAGGGCAAAAACTCCAAAAATAGCTGTTTTTAAGAAAAGTGTTTTTCGACAATAACTTTTGACTAAAAAAAGCTAGGTCATTTCTAATGCCAGAATCGTGTTCCTCTCGCCGAGATGCGTCGAAAGAACTATAAGTTGACCTTGAAAGGTCAACTTCAAAATTTGACCTCAGGTCAAGGTCATGACCTGACCGGAAAAGGTCATGTTGCATATCAGTCGATGCGTCTCGGCAAGACAAACACAAGGAGGCCAATCCCAGCGTTCTATCTCTTTTCAATCGAGAGTTATTGGCAAAAAACTGTTTGTAGCCTCAAATGGCCTCGGATGACCTTTCAAGAGGCTATCAGCAAAAAAGACACCTTGGTCGTCACGGGTGGTCCAAATCATTGTTATCCTGAAATATTTGGACTGTTCCTATGCGTACACACGGATCTAGAGGCATTTTCGTTTTTCTCCATTGACTTATAATTGAAAGGTCACGCCACTGACCTGACCTTAGGTCACGCATATAAAAAATCCGAGATATACAAATTGTAGGCACCCATAACATCATGTAATCCACCAAGTTTGAAACCTCTCTGACAAACACTGCAGGCTGGACATGATTGCAAACTTTTTTAGGCTTGGTCAGTTAACTTGACCTGGTGACCTGACCTGACATGACCTGGGGTCAAAAATTTCACACATTGTCCAAAATTGATGTACCAAAAGCTACCCCAAGCGGCGCGGCGCGTAGCGCCGCGGTTTTTTATTTATACGAAAAAAAAGCAACAGGGTGGTAACATATGCCCCCCCCCCCCCACTGGGGCGAAGGTTAAAATGATGGCGTTGTTGCATATAATATTTATAATTTATTCCTCGTTGTTGTCGAATGAATGAAGTAAGATGTCAAAAATGGATGTCATTCAGTCCCAGTTCATCACTATGTAGTGTCGTTGTCAGTTATCAAATGCCGTAAAATTCAATACTGCGAGTGGTCATGCTTTGCTTCAATTCATAATGCTACCATTTCATGACTTCTTACAGATGTATCACAAGCCTTGCGTTTGGTACACTCGGGCCGCTACACTGAAACGTTAATTCGCCTGTATACTTACCAAGAAAACAAAAGCGGATATGTTATATTAGATGCGCTGGCGTTAGACACTAGAAGTTCTGAGCCTTGCGTGATATAGTCGGCACGTGTAGACAGTGCAAATAACTTTTCATAGAGTGCGGAGGGAAAAATACATATCCAACATCGATGGTCGCAAATGTTAAGCCCCCAGATTGTATGTGTGATGGATTATTGAAAACACATGAGTTATACCAAACAAGCCCGGCATGTGAGATCAGCAGGTATAAGAAAACAACTGACTACATCTGTAAGTACTGATCTAACTACTACATGATGTTTCACCTGTCACAACACATTGCCCCAATAGACGGTAAATAACTTTTGAAAATACCAATTTCCAATTTTAGTGTTTTCTGGACCAAAATTTTGCGAGGAATCCGATGGTGTGGTCCCCGAAATCTGAAAAATTTCCATTTTGGAGATAGCACCTATTTTTTGAAAAATAAATATTCGTCAGGCTTAATAGTCAAATAAATTGGAAATATAATGAGTTAATTTTTGTAACAACACTAGAATGTGTCGAACATGAATTAGAGATATATTTTAGCTGAGATGATACTATATCTGCGCATACATGTACATGAACTAGTACATTAACCCTCGTCGGCCGAGAAGGGGTGGGGCGGGTGCCGCCTAATAGGGCTTTTCGCGATAGCTTAAAACTCGCTTAGGGTAGACAGCTGAAACTTGGCATACCTAATTGTTGTGTGCTGGGAACATTCCGGAGCGGTTACCCATCCCCAGTGCGCGGGTACCCGCCCAGTTTGGTCTGGCGTCTCGCTGTCTGTGTCTGGCTGTCTGGTGTCTCGTTTTGTGATTGGCTGACCGTTGATCGGTCAGTCACGTGATCGTATCGGACGGTCAGGGCCGCATCGTGCTGGCCGGTCGGTCGGGGGGGGAGTCGGTCGGTCACCGCTGAGCCAGCCGTCGGTATGGTGCTGTTGCTAAAGTAAAATATACCGCACCCGGTTTAACAGAGTGTCTCAAGATACAACAGTGGCGACGAGGCAAGAACCCACGGCAAGATGAGTGATTCAGATGAGAGGAAGCCGGCAACAGGTATCGCAACAATGCACCAGCCCACGGTATGTCTCACGTCCGCCATTGGCGAATTTGATGAACGTCAAGGCACCTGGAGGGATTACATTGAACGATTTGAGTTCTTTTGCGAGGCTCAGGGCATTTCAGAGGATGATAGAAGGAGAGCACTTCTCTTGGCTGGTATTGGGCAAACTGCGTATCAAAGAGTCAAAACCATTCTGGCACCCACCCGACCCTCTGAGATGTCATATAGAGATATTGTCATGGCCGTGCAAGATCATGTGGATCCGAAGCAGTCTGTTATCGTTAGCCGTTTCCGGTTCCATCAAAAATGTCAAGGATCAGAACAGGGGATAAAGGAGTTTGTGGCTGACTTGAAAGTCATGGCCGATCCATGCGACTTTGGATCAAGTAGAGATGATATGTTACGCGACAGATTTGTGTGTGGACTCGCTGATCAGGCGTTGCAGAAGCGGTTGTTGACCGAGGAAGATACTCTGACGTTCCAACAGGCGCAGCGGATCGCACTGGCAGCAGAGACGGCGACGAAGAGCGCAAGACAGCTGGCTGCCCAGTCATCCGATCCAGCGGCGCAGGACGTTCACCGAGTTGGATCTGCACGACAGGTGAAAGGGTCACCATCCAATCGGTACGTCAGATCGGAATGTTTCCGCTGCGGAGGCACTAATCATTCACCTCAAACATGCCGCTTTAAGACGTACAAGTGTCATTCATGTGGCGAGCAGGGTCACTTAAGTCGCAAATGTCGCAAAAATGATCAAGATCATGTGCGCGCCTCGCAAGCTAAATCTACACACTGTGTACTGACTGATGAGTCTGTCAGAGTATCAGAGCCTAGTCAGGCTGCTGAAGAGGATAATGTTTGCAGCGTGTACACTGTGGGTGAAGCAAGGTCCCCTCCAATCACAGTTGACATCATAGTGTTTGGTGTGCCCGTTACCTTTGAGGTTGACACAGGATCGGCATCCACGCTGATGAATGCCCGCACCTTTGAGGTGGTGAAGACTACAGGCGGCGACGACAGCCTTGAACTTCGGCGATGCAGCGCCAGGCTTCGGACGTACACGGGTGAGCCCATCCCGGTCGAAGGGGAGTTCAGTGCCGTCATCCATTACGGTGAGCAGCACCTGGAGCTTCCCGTCGTCGTGGTCGACACTGCAGGACCCAATCTTCTGGGAAGGGACTGGATGAAGTTCCTTCAGCTCGACTGGCAAACCATCAAACAGGTCAGAGGTGATCCTGGGCGGGGACAGTCAATGGGTGCAGAGCTGCAGAAAAAGTACCGTGATGTGTTTTCTGCTGATCTAGGGTGCCTGAAAGACGTGGAGGTGAAGTTTGACGTCAATGAGGATGCAAAACCATGTTTCTATCGTCCACGGAACATTCCCTATGCCTTCAGGAAACGCGTGGAGGAGCAGCTGGACGCGGAGGTCGAGGCTGGGGTCCTCGAGCCAGTGCGCACTGCGGACTGGGCGTGCCAAATCGTCCCGATAGTGAAGCCCGACGGTAAAATCCGCATATGCGGAAACTTCAAACAGACAGCTAACAAAGCCATTCGAGTAGACAGACACCCCCTGCCCAAGGTCCAGGACATGTTTGCCCAACTGGCTGGGGGAAAGGTGTTTGCCAAGCTAGACTTAAGCCGTGCATATCAACAGTTGAAAGTAGCAGAGGAGCACAGACACTTGCTGACAATCAACACTCACCGTGGACTGTATCGTTACCTGCGGCTACCGTACGGGATAAACTCAGCTGTGGGAATCTTTCAGCGTGAAATGGAAAAGCTGCTGGCTGGCGTGCCAGGAGTCTTCATCTTCCTCGACGACATCCTGGTCTCTGGACGGGCTGAAGACGAGCTCGTGTCCCGTCTGGAGCAAGTGCTGCAACGACTCCAGGACTCCGGACTTCGGGTGAGACCGGACAAGTGTCACTTCTTGGTCCCCCGCGTTGAGTATCTTGGTCATGTCGTCGACAAAGATGGCCTTAGTACCACGGAGGCCAAGGTTCGAGCCATAACCCAGTCACCTCCTCCCACAAATGTCTCTGAGCTGAAGTCGTTTCTCGGCATCGTCAATTATTATTCCCGGTTCATCCCCAGCAGAGCCCAAACGCTACACCCGCTCTTTGAGCTCCTCAAAAAGAGTACACCGTGGTCCTGGGAACAAGAGCATCAAAGGGCTTTCGAGGAATGCAAACGATTGCTCACGTCTAACCAACTCCTGGTTCATTTTGATCCTGACCTCCCACTAGTCCTCACCTGTGACGCCTCCGCTCGTGGGATCGGAGCTGTGCTCTCACATGCGTTTCCAGATGGGTCTGAGAGGCCGATAGGATATGCGTCTAGGACGCTACAGACAGCAGAAAAGCAGTACAGTCAAATCGAAAGAGAGTCCCTAGCTATCATATTTGGTGTCACCGCCTTCCGTGACTACTTATATGGGGCAAAATTTGAACTGGTCACAGATCACAAGCCTCTTATCAAGCTCTTTGGAGAGAACAGCGGCATGCCAGAGATGACAAGCGCCAGAATCAAACGCTGGGCGCTGAAGCTTTCCCAGTATACCTATACGATCAGATACAAGTCAACAAATGACATTGCTCACGCTGATGGTCTGAGCCGACTGACACAGTCAGTAGGGCAGAGTCACATCCCTCCTGAGGAAGAGGATGTCTTACTCATCAATTACCTTGAAGAGGCCAACATTTTGAGTGCCCCTAAAGTGGAAAGACTGACGAACAGGGATCCTGTTCTCAGCAAGGTCATCCATTGTATTCGAATGGGATGGTCACAGAACGTGAGCTCTGATCTGAAACCCTATGCAGATAGACAGACTGAGCTCTACATGATCGGAGGCTGTGTAATGTGGGGAACAAGAGTGGTCATACCTGAGGCGGCTCGAAAGTCTGTCCTGGAAGAACTCCACAGTTGTCACTTCGGGGTAGTCAAAATGAAAGCTTTGGCTAGAACAACAGTTTGGTGGCCTGGGATTGACCGAAATATCGAGGAGCTAGCCGCATCATGTTTTGTATGCAGATCCCAGAGTCCAGATCCTCCTAAAGAAGAGCTCCATCCGTGGCAATATCCAGTGAAGGCCTGGTCCAGACTGCACATTGACTTTGCCGGCCCGAGGAAGGGCAGGTATTACATGGTTGTCTGTGATGCCTTTTCAAAATGGATCGAGGTAGAGATCATGAGTTCCATTGATGCACGTACCACGATCAAGAAACTGACTTCAATATTCGCGCGTTTCGGTCTGCCCGACGTCATTGTCACAATGCCCCAACATTCATTAGCTCAGAATTCCAAGAGTTTTTGAACAGGAACAGCATTCAGCATCGCACGATAGCCCCTTACTCGCCTGCTTCGAATGGCTTGGCTGAACGTGCTGTCCGAGAGCTCAAGGTACGGCTTGACAGATTGACTGACGTATGTGCTGAGGAGGCTGTGTCTAAATGGCTTTTCTTGTACAGGGCGACGCCGCACGCAACGACCGGGGAGTCTCCTGGCAAGCTGCTCATCGGATACAAGCCGGTCACCAGGTTCGATAAACTGAAGCCGGACCTTCAAGGTAACGTGATCAGGAAACAGGAGAACTTGGTAGAAAGTCACAAAAGAAGGCATACTCGAGTGAGGCCTGCGTTTGTTGTTGGTCAAACTGTGTGGGCTCGAAGTTGATTTTGTTTAATTGCAAGGCTAACTCTTGATTTAAATGGGAGGGTGTTGTGTGCTGGGAACATTCCGGAGCGGTTACCCATCCCCAGTGCGCGGGTACATACCCGCCCAGTTTGGTCTGGCGTCTCGCTGTCTGTGTCTGGCTGTCTGGTGTCTCGTTTTGTGATTGGCTGACCGTTGATCGGTCAGTCACGTGATCGTATCGGACGGTCAGGGCCGCATCGTGCTGGCCGGTCGGTCGGGGGGGGAGTCGGTCGGTCACCGCTGAGCCAGCCGTCGGTATGGTGCTGTTGCTAAAGTAAAATATACCGCACCCGGTTTAACAGAGTGTCTCAAGATACAACACTAATCTTTTATTCAAGCTGGATCTTTTGACCTCAACTGCGTTTTCAGGTCAAGTCAGGTCACTGACCTATGACGTCATAAATGAGCCTCTGCGAGGTCCTCAGATGTTGCAACTTTGCAACGCCCTCAGTGCCAGAGGAACTTTCACAGGAAGATGAAACTTACAGGACGTAGTATCTTTCAGAGGTCTTACAACTTGTATATCTCGGATTTAATCTAAATGTCACATGAGGTCAGGTCGGTCACGTGACCTCACCATTATAAGTCAATGGGGGAAATATGAAAACTGTTATCTTGGCGCCGGAAATGATCTAAAACTGTCCCAAGCACATGAAATCGTGGTTTCATGTACTCTTTGTAAGGTCCGATCATGAAACCACGATTTCATGTGCTTGGGATAGTTTTAAATCATTACCGGCGCCAAAATAACAGTTTTCGTATTTCCCCCATTGACTTATAATGGTGAGGTCACGTGACCGACCTGACCTCATGTGACATTTAGATTAAATCCGAGATATACAAGTTGTAAGACCTCTGAAGGATACTACGTCCTGTAAGTTTCATCTTCCTCCTCTGAAGGATACTACGTCCTGTAAGTTTCATCTTCCTGTGAAAGTTCCTCTGGCACTGAGGGCGTTGCAAAGTTGCAACATCTGAGGACCTCGCAGAGGCTCATTTATGACGTAATAGGTCAGTGACCTGACCTGACCTGAAAACGCAGTTGAGGTCAAAAGATCCAGCTTGAATAAAAGATTAGGTATGCCAAGTTTCAGCTGTCTACCCTAAGCGAGTTTTAAGCTATCGCGAAAAGCCCTATTAGGCGGCACCCGCCCCACCCCTCCTCGGCCGACGAGGGTTAATGTACTAGTTCATGTACATGTATGCGCAGATATAGTATCATCTCAGCTAAAATATATCTCTAATTCATGTTCGACACATTCTAGTGTTGTTACAAAAATTAACTCATTATATTTCCAATTTATTTGACTATTAAGCCTGACGAATATTTATTTTTCAAAAAATTGGTGCTATCTCCAAAATGGAAATTTTTCAGGTTTCGGGGACCACACCATCGGATTCCTCGCAAAATTTTGGTCCAGAAAACACTAAAATTGGAAATTGGTATTTTCAAAAGTTATTTACCGTCTGTTGGGGCAATGTGACAAGCTATTACTATGCATTTCAGACCCTGTGGAACAGTCCTTTTCGGCTATTTCTCGTTGTATATGCGTTTGATTTTAACCAAACTTTGGCATTGGTAGTTTGAGATCCCTACCTAATTTTTATCAATATGGTCTATTAACAAAAAAATGAAAAATAAAGGCACTTGTCATTGACTGATAATGTTAAGGTCGTCAGAGCCCTGCTTAGAGGCTGGCACAGGCCGGGCGCTGTCTCCCCTCTGATTGGTCGTGACGCACATAGCACACTGCGGCTTGGCTCCGCCCACTTGCGGTCCAGCCTCGGGTCATGTCGGCGGCAGTCGCAGTCTGGCCGGCCGGCGTGCGGGCCGCGCGCGCAGCGCAGCGGAGTGGAGCACCTGTTTGCATGTCATGAACTTTAAATAAGTTGTATACTACGACAAATAAGGACGGAGGAAGAAAGACAAAGGAAGAGGAGACAAAGTGACAATGAGACGAACGGCAAACGTTGGCTAGTTGTTAACATACAATATGCATAAACGCTAGAGCAGAGACTGAGACATGAGACAAAGACGGTAGATGAAAGACAGACACAAAAGATGGCAGACCAGACCAGAGACAAGTGACGAAGATAGAGATTACGCTATAGACGAGAGACTAAAGACTATAAACCTATAGACGAGAGACTGACAAGGGGGAATGAAGGATGGGAGATCTCTCGATATTGCATATCTACATTTTCAGATTGAGTCATCCTATATCCTTCCCTGTTTTATTGTTTTTCGGGCCTAAGATCTATCAACAATATTCCTAAAGTAAAGCATTGTGGAAATATCCAGCAAAGATTTAATATTTTCACCCAAAAATAATAAAATTTTATTCTTTAAAACTAAGAAAAATGAATGTGTGGATATCCTTAATTATATAATGCAAAGACAGTCCGGTAGGTTCTGTCCCGTTACTCCTTAAATGCACAATAGCCGGTAGGAAAACGGCTGCGGAGAGGCTCGCTATAAATTATTGAAAATTAGATTATTTTAAGTCTGTATGGAATAATATTCTGTAGCTAGAAAGAGTGCTTATCGTTTTATACATACACATTACACCGATCTGCATTGCATTCTTCATCCTTATTCACTCCGCGCGAGATAGGACCTATACATATTCATGTTGAATGATGGTGAGGGTTTCTTTGAAAATGAGCCCCATTATTATTAAAAGATAAGCAAGTAATAGCCTTTGGCTCATTGTATAATAGACAAAAGAAATGGAAAAGAATATATGTGCGATATTTCGTGTTCGACACTTTTTCATGCACTCAAAAAAAAGTGTCGAACACGAAATATCGCACATATTTTCCATTTCCATTTCAAAGATTTCAAAAGAAATCTTTTCCATTTCTTTTGTCTATTATACAATGAGCCAAAGGCTATTACTTGCTTATCTTATACATATTCACGCAAGGATACCTGCGTTAGCGTGTGTCCCGCTCCAGTCTCTCAGAGCTCCGCACTGCTCTGACCCCGAGCGACGAATGACCGGTCTCAGTGTCGCGGCGCAGTGGGCGGAGCTTAGCTGCGGCGCAACAGCTGACACTGCTACGCCATGCTAGCCTCTACCACGGTGCAGAGTTTTCCGGTCAGTTTTTACCATTACAAGTCAATGGCAAGTGCCTTTCATTTTGACATTTTGTTAAAAGACCATATTAGTAAAAATTAGGTAGGGCCTTGAAATTCATTGCGTCAAAGTTTGGTTGAAATCAAGCGTTTTGGTAACGAGAAAGAGCCAAAAAGGACTGTTCCAGAGGGTCTGAAACGTATAGTAGTTGACTGTAACACGCTAGGTTTTTTCGCAAATCACACAATTGTTTTTAGGGAGCTAAGGGTCACAGGGATAGGCTGTCACTCAACATGCGTGATGCGGCGCAGCCGCAGTTCCTTTATGGAAGATGGAACGTCACTTTTTACCCAATCTCATCATGGTGAAAAATATTTCATGTCATCCCATACAAGTTCGAGATTCTCACCTGCTATTATCCGTAAATCGGTGTAGTTGCGTGTTGCTGCGTGTCGAACGGAACTGCTTTCCACGACTGAGGCGCACGGCGTTTATAACGGCGTTTTAATGGTCTCTGCTATCTGCTCGTGGCGTCGAGCGTTTTATTATCGCCATCGGAGTCGATGGAGATGGGAACAAGACAGCCGTTACAAAAGTCTACAAGAGGTGAGATGTGAACTGACAGGCGATGTTCTAGTTATTATCACTGAGCTGTTATCTTATTTTCGACGTGTACACTAGCAAGCAGGCTTCCATTCTTAACGCCATGACATCATGGTCTGTAGATGAACTTAGGGTAAAGAAAAAACGAGAGTAGGCTATGAAACCTGTAGACCCTAATACTCCATGCATCCATAAATGAAACCGACGCAAAAACCTACTTTCTATAGAAAAATAATTGTTTTTTTTTAGAGTTACACTGATGATGTACTAATTTTCGTGACATAATGACTCGAGCTGAGGTTATTGGAGCTTGAAATTCTCAGAATGTGTCAAAAAAACGTCCAACTAAGCTTGTCAAATTTGGCGGTGCTGCGTATCACGGTTCACTAAGTTTGCCAAATCCTGGTTCCCTAATTTTGGCGATGCCATGAAGCGCCGTTTTTACGCCAGACTGGTTTTTGGTTCACCTTTTTTGGATTGATTCAATCATTGATTCATTTGATTTTTGTTTGATTCAATCACCGTTTGATTCCTTCAAAACATTTGGTGAATCGATTCCTTTTGATTCAGAGAATCAAAAAACAATAAAAGGAATGATTCACGTTTGATTCAGCCAATTTTTTTGAATGACTTATTTTTTTATTCAATTAAAAAATAAAATATACAAAATATCAGGGATAGTATTGTATTTGTTGTGTTCTTTTTGTTGTCATGTAATGGCAGTGGTGTTAATATTTGTTGATAATGAACTATGTTCGTTCACTTCAATTTTTTGAAAGTTAATGAATCATTATTTTTTTTTTTGATTCAATCAACCCTGATTCCCAATGCGTTTGATTCAATCATGGCTTGTGAATCAAACAATCCTGACGGTGAATCAAACCTTTTTGATTCAAGAAATTTTGTTTGATTCAATACAATCGATTCAATCACAGATGAATCAAACACCAGTCTGTTTTACGCCACCTACAAAAGATCCAGAACTAATTCCTCTCATTGTAAATTCACCCTGACCAGCTTTTGTGACCTGGTGACGTAACCACTGGAACTTCAAAATTTTAAGAAAATGTGGTTTAAGCATGGTCTATAGGGTATGATTGCTATTTGCTTTTGTAATAAAATTATGAGTCAAAGCGTTTTACCCAATCTGTGAAAAGGTTCAATAGCCCTCGCGATTCGCTTGATCTATCGGTTTTCTAGTTTCTACATATATTCGTTCCGGCCGATAGGGGTAAGAGCTCTGTTTGTCTTGCGTCATTTCGTCTCTAAATCAGGGTTGCCAGACTTGGCGATACGTCGCCAATTTGGCGAATTTTGAAAGTCATTGGTGATAGAAGCACGGCGTTTAGCGATAGGCGATAAAACGTCAAATATTGGCGGATTTTCAGAGTTCACCTCCAAATCACCGAATATAATTTTAAAAAATAAACAAAACAAAGCAAAAAACATCGTTACGAAATATTTCGTAATCTGATTGATTTAACCTTCCAACGTTCCATATAAGGCACTCAAATATAAAATGTTCCTGATGAAAATATCTTCTGCTTACTTGTAAACAACTTTGTGGCGTGTTGCGGGAATGGCGGTAACGGTCGACCCCCACCAGACACGATTTGGTAACACAGTAATGACTTCAGCTGGGCGTGAAGTTCACCATAGGGTTTACACATAAACTGGTGTAAGTTTGAGCCAGGATATACTAGTCTAAAAATGCAAATCACGATCAAATTTTGGCATAAGTAGATTCAGCGTTTCATTGTGTGTCTCAAACCGTTCATCATTTGGCCTCAAAGAAGGTAAAAAGTGTTCAAAATCGAAGTTGAAAAGATGCTATCTGAGGATAGAATCTGTTAGCAATCACGTGATCGGCTATAAGCAATTTATCGATAATTTACTAATATAATTATCAATATGCTGCTTTAAACAACATTATTCAAACCTTTTGATCTTTCAATACTTTCACTGAACACGGTTACACGAACGCCAACTTGCCCTGCTACGTATGCTTATACAGTGCATCCTATTTGGCGAATTTTGGCGAAATTCGAGGGGCGAATTTGGCGATAAGGACCATTCTGGATCTGGCAACCCTGCTCTAAATAAGTTTGATGGAAGTTCCACGTTGCAGAGCCAGCTTCTCCATCCCAAGAACGGTTAAACGGATCGCGCTCAAGCTTGGTAAATGGTAACTACGTCAGCATATGTAGACCCGCTAGGTGGATGGTCCTCAAATGGCAGCATTCAGCAAGGATCTCATACTTTGCCCTTTCACGTCAACATGTTCGTCGCCCAATATGACCTTCTACTGTTATTCAGTGTCCCAGAATGCCTTCGTTTATTCAATCTGCAGGTATTAAAATTCATGCAATCAAAATGAACTCAACATGTAATACAACATGGATTCAAGTTCACCTGCAGCAGAATTTGCACTCCAGGATGAGGTGCGGTCCGTTGATAAGCGGCCATCACCTGTTGGTTCACATCCTCTCTAGTAGAAGACTACTCAGTGGCTGTTTTGTTCCCAACCCCACCCCCGTCCCCCCATCCACCCAGCCCTCTGACGGAGATAAGCCAGGTCTCGGACGAGCGACTGGCATCACTGCCGCGCACATCAGTCAACTGACTGGCAGTGTTTTATTATTCAGCGAGAAACGAACCAAAGATACGCAAAAATAACTCACTGCTAGAATTTCGTGAGTATTAGACTTGAATATAAATAAGTTGATTTTTCGCCATCCTAATTACGTAAGATCGTATTTTTCGTTTATCAGAAATCGACTTTTTATCATACTCAGATGCGAAAGATTAAGTTTTATTTTTGTATGTGTACTTACAAGTTGAATGAGATGCCAGAAGCCCCGAAAAATCAAATCACCGATTTTCTAATTGATATTTCAAAGAAATCCTTTCCATATTTGGTTGGTTTGATAAATCATCAGGAATAATTGTATCTTTGAATGTAAGGTCCATCGCGTAGAAGGCAAAAGTAATGCCACCATGTAGGAGAGAGTAAGACACTTTCTGCCACTTTTCCAAAATTGGCTTTTGTGCGCACTTTTTCAACAGCTGGCGTTTGATACTTTCAGTGGTAAAAATATTTCCTACAGCAAGAACTTCAAATGCCCCATTGGTGTTCCTGTCGCATTTCAATTGGTTTCGACGCTAGAGTCGATAATGCGTCGAAGCGTCATCTGACAGAACATACCCTATATACGAGGCAGTTTCTGTCACCTGCAGGGGCACATTCTGTCGCTAATGGGACACATCCTTTCATCACCGCACGCCATCTAGTGTCGCGCAGCCATCCAGTGTATTTCATTCAACGTCGTCAAGTACAATCGATAGAGAAAGACATCCAGATTTGATCATGGCACCGAAGTTCCTTACGTCTTCGGTCACGCGCCAGGAATATTTTTGGAGACATCTCGAGGGGGACGGGGATTAGTTGTGAAGCAGGGCGTATTTTAAGGGATTTTCACTGGGTCGGCAATCACAATTAGGGGCGGCATTTTGCACTCATAGGGGCGGCACTTGGCATCTGACGGGGCGGCATACCTACTGATATTTAATGACCAAAAAAGACACGTTCGACGGTTCTTTTATAACTCTTTCTAAGTAATTATTTCAGATTCAACCTAAGCTCAGCGGTATTTCCGGGATATAGTTTTTCTCTCATCATAATGCGATAAATGAAATATAATTTGATTTTACAAAAAAATAATTTTAAAATTTTACCTGAGGTCAAGTTCATGACCTGACCAGAAATAGAACATGTTGCATACCAGTCGATCCGTATCGTCAAGCATAGAACATTCACGCGTTTTATGGCTCTATCTAGAACAGTGGTCGGCAGGTCGCACGAGTGGTGCCCACTTTATGGGCGCAAGACGGGGCCATTACCCCCACTTGTCATACCTCATTGCTTACACAGCAAGGGTCGCTGATATTCGGCCATATCCTTAGACGTCTCTATTTTTCTGCATAGGTATAAATAAAATTCAACACATTTAAACTCTCTTTTTATGGAGAGGGAGAGCGGGTGGAGTAAGGATGAACTCATACATTTTTTTTATTTATTAGTTACTCGCGTAATGAACAGCGTATTGCACAGATAAGTTCATCCCTCCCCCCCCCCAGTTAATGAATGTTATACCCACCTACTCAAACATTTTGGTGACCCCAATGACATTGTCATTGAGTTTTTGAAATTTGAATGACCTTCACTCGGTAACTTTCTCTCCGGCTCGGCCAGCGGACAAAACGCAAGCGGAGACAATGCGGGGAGTCCGGTGCTCTACCAACTGAGCTACGGAACAGGCAAATGCTCACCATAGATATACCGACTGAACGATCCCTTTATAACTTCAGCGATTGATAAGACAAACAGTGTGTCACTGTAAGTACATAAAATGTAAGTCTCGAAATTGCGATGTCTTTGACCAAAGGTAAGGACAATTTTGCGACCCTTCCATTAGGTATAAGGAAATGGGAGAAAGTCGGGGCATGTGCCTCTTTTTATAGGTAGACAAATGTCAAAGTTAACGAATTTAAACATCAGAAAACAATTAAAAATGACACACTTAATCGGAAAAATGCCACCCACGACCCTTCGTTATGTCCTTGAGGTCATGTCAGGTCATGGATTGGTAGGCCTCCAGCAGGTTTTTTTTCAATAACTTCTGATAGGGACATGCGATATGCCTGAGCGATGAAAATACCTTAGATGATTTCAGTTTCACGATACAAATCGACTGATATGCAACATGACCTTTACCAGTCAGGTCATGACCTGGACCTGAGCTCAAATTTCCCAAATGACATTTGAATGTCAAATTATAGTTCATTCGACGCATCTCGACGAGAGGAGCGCAGTACTGAAAAAAACGATGTCATAACTTTCGTGAGTCAATAATTATTAAAGTA